GCTTTGCACAATGGTACGTATATTGCATGAGTGAATGCGTGTGCTTGCTTCAGCACGTCTGTATACACATGCATACACACATCCATAGGTACATACATACATACATATGTATATACACATACATATATGTGTGTTTATGTGTATACATATATGTATATATACCGTGATATATCCTTTTATCTATCTACCTACCTATCTAAGTATTCTATTAATATCACACTATAAACACATACATATGTATATATATGTGTGTGTGTATGCGTGTGTATTCATGTATATGTACTCAAACATATATGCATGCATGTGTGTATGTATGCATGCATGTATGTATATAAATATGTAACGATATAGATATACGATATCACTGATACAACCTCTACTGCAAGTATTATCAATATCAGTTAATGACTAGCTCAACCAAACATTATTCATATCATATGATTTGCTATACATGTGGGAACTCATAGTTTGTATTACTAATTCAAATGCATATATTGTAGACAAAATCAGAAGCATAATATATAAACCCAAACTAAGTTTCACATTTGGAACCAGATCATAAGACATAAACTCAAGACATAACACATAAGCTCAGTCAAATGCTTAAGATATAAACTTAAACTCAATATATAGTCAGACTGAATAAATTCGTACACGATGGCCATAGTCCCAAAGATCAAAAGATCAATCTCTTATTTTACAGAAAGAATTCCAGTTCTATTGTAAGCTTATCGTATTTTGTTCCGTTTCAGAAATATTCTCTCGCACTTGTGTTGGTGGCTGCCATGGTGGCATGTGTCCTGGCGGGAGGCAGAAGCTATGGTGGATATGGAGGCGGTTATGGAGGCGGCCGTGGAGGCGGTTATGGTGGCGGGCACGGAGGCTATGGAGGTGGTTATGGAGGCGGTCGCGGAGGTGGCTACGGAGGCTATGGAGGCGGCTACGGAGGTGGCAGCGGAGGTTATGGTGGTGGTTATGGCGGCGGTCGCGGAGGTGGTTAGGAGGCTATGGCGGCGGTCGCGGAGGAGGCTATGGTGGCGGCTATGGCGGTGGCTATGGATACGGGAAATGATCCGATTGTAAGAATTCAACATGTTAAAGAGCTACACATGTATTCATCCGTCATTTAACGTCTTTTATGAGTAAGTCGTCAATGCATGACATAAAACACACTTTTAATACATTTATAATATCAAATACCCTATTTTGTTCTGAGATCCTTGACAATAGTGATGATAGTTGTAACGATGAAGAAAAAGGTACTGGACGTAATACATTTACAAAGGTAATGAGCATAATAATTATTCTAATAGCTATAATGATAATGATAATGAAAAGAACAGGATGATATTCGACAATAACAAAGACAACGAGGTTATGATTTTAATGAAAAATGAAGTAAAATTACTAAAGATAATAATGGTAATGGCATCAATAAGACTAATGATGTTAATGAGAAAGAATAAGTTAAAATTAGTCCCATATCCAAGTAGACGTAGGAGGAGGGAGGCCATGTTCGCAGAGGACCATGCTTACTAAAGGGGCGGACACATGAGCGTTTTCTGAACGATACGTTGGAGGTGACTTGTTTTTTCCCCACTTCCCTCATCTTCCAAGTCCGCAAAATCTACAACTTGGTCGCAAGGAGAAACGGGCATTATGTATCATTTGGACATCGGCGAGAAGGACATGGCAAGTGTCTGCAATCTACTAAGTAAAGAATACTCAACTACAAAAATTATAAAATTAATATATATATATATATATATATATTATATAATATATATATATATATCAATTAACATATTTAAAAAATGAAGCTGTATTTCATATCCTTATATTTTCCAAGTGTTTATTCTTATAATCCGTGACGTCATCATTGTTTACATACACGCGTCTTCCAAGTTCCTCAAAGGAGCATAAATGATAATAGTAATAGTGGTATTAATGATAATTATAATAACAGTAACAACTGTCATGATAATAGTAACAGTGGTAGTAATGATAATCGTGATGAAAGGATAATAATGAGGATAAAAAGTGTCAAAGGTAATGCTACTAGGGGCAATAATGATAATCATCATAATAGTAATAATGATATATAAAAATATAACAATAATGATAAGAACAATATCAATAATGATTATTGTTATTATTACCATTACCATTATCATCTTTATCAACATCATAATGATAACTGTATTAAGGATTGTGATATGGATTGAAATTATATTTGTAATGATGATAAAGACAAAAATAATTGCAATGATAATGATGAAAATAACAACAGTAATGACCCTAGTAATGATACTATTAGTACTACTACAACTACAGATGATAATTATAGTAACGATGATAATAATGATCACGACGCCAATGACGATAATAATAATGTTAATGATAGTGGCAATGATAATGATAATGATATCAATAATAATGATAAAAATGATGATGCAGATAAGGATGATAAAAATGAAAATAACAGTAATGATATTGTTTCTGACAACGATAACAATAATGATAAACATATTGATACCAGTGATGATAATAAGGATAACATGAATGATGATAATGATAATGCTGTTGATAAAAAATATGATGATAATGATAACAATATTAATGACAATATTGATTATACTGTAACAATAATAGTGATGATAATAACAATGATAATAATGATAATAATGGTAATAATAATAGCAATAATAATAGGGATGACAATGTCAACAAAATAATAACAAGGGGATGTCTAATGATAAGAGTGATAACAGTAATAATAACAAAATAGATATGTTAACACGAATAACTCTCCTAACCCTCCATAAACAGAAATGCAACCAAACTGGTGATTTGTGAGAAGAAAGGTATCATTATAATGATCATTTCATTGTATGAACGTAATTCGATTCTGAATGTAGATTTTAATCATAGCCAAACAATAATGAAACAATTCCACCAGGTCGGTCGTAAAGAAGAAAGAAAGAAAGAAAAAAAAAAAAAAAGACAATGAAAATCTGGCACGAAATTATTATCACATCCCATGACGCGTGTTTCTCAGGCGCAGAACGGCTCAGCGATTCCCTCGGTGGATATAAAAGCTTGAAGTTCCTTCAGCCTGAAGCAGAGTCTGGCCTGACTTCATACCGAAAAGCTTTGCACAATGGTACGTATACTGCATGGAGTGAATGCGTGTGCTTGCTTCAGCACGTCTGTATACACATGCATACACACATCCATAGGTACATACATACATACATATGTATATACACATACATATATGTGTGTTTATGTGTATACATATATGTATATATACCGTGATATATCCTTTTATCTATCTACCTACCTATCTAAGTATATCTATTAATATCACACTATAAACACATATATATGTATATATATGTGTGGTGTTGTTAGGTGTGTATACATGTATATGTACACAAACATATATGCATGCATGTGTGTATGTATGCATGCATGTATGTATATAAATATGTATAGATATAGATATACGATATCACTGATACAACCTCTACTGCAAGTATTATCAATGTCAGTTAATGACTAGCTCAACCAAACATTATTCATATCATATGATTTGCTATACATGTGGGAACTCATAGTTTGTATTACTAATTCAAAGGCATATATTGTAGACAAAATCAGAAGCATAATATATAAACCCAAACTAAGTTTCACATTTGGAACCAGATCATAAGACATAAACTCAAGACATAACACATAAGCTCAGTCAAATGCTTAAGATATAAACTTAAACTCAATATATAATCAGACTGAACAAATTCGTACACGATGGCCATAGTCCCAAAGATCAAAAGATCAATCTTTTATTCTACAGAAAGAATTCCAGTTCTATTGTAAGCTTATCGTATTTTGTTCCGTTTCAGAAATATTCTCTCGCACTTGCGTTGGTGGCTGCCATGGTGGCATGTGTCCTGGCGGGAGGCAGAAGCTATGGTGGATATGGAGGCGGTTATGGAGGCGGCCGTGGAGGCGGTTATGGTGGCGGGTACGGAGGCTATGGAGGTGGTTATGGAGGCGGTCGCGGAGGTGGCTACGGAGGCTATGGAAGCGGCTACGGAGGTGGCAGCGGAGGTTATGGTGGTGGTTATGGAGGCGGTCGAGGAGGTGGCTACGGAGGCTATGGAGGCGGCTACGGAGGTGGCAGCGGAGGTTATGGTGGTGGTTATGGCGCGGTCGCGGAGGTGGTTATGGAGGCTATGGCGGGTCGCGGAGGAGGCTATGGTGGCGGCTATGGCGGTGGCTATGGATACGGGAAATGATCCGATTGTAAGAATTCAACATGTTAAAGAGCTACACATGTATTCATCCGTCATTTAACGTCTTTTATGAGTAAGTCGTCAATGCATGAAATAAAACACACTTTTAATACATTTATAATATCAAATACCCTATTTTGTTCTGAGATCCTTGACAATAGTGATGATAGTTGTAACGATGAAGAAAAAGGTACTGGACGTAATACATTTACAAAGGTAATGAGCATAATAATTATTCTAATAGCTATAATGATAATGATAATGAAAAGAACAGGATGATATTCGACAATAACAAAGACAACGAGGTTATGATTTTAAGGAAAAATGAAGTAAAATTACTAAAGATAATAATGGTAATGGCATCAATAAGACTAATGATGTTAATGAGAAATAATAAGTTAAAATTAGTCCCATATCCAAGTAGACGTAGGAGGAGGGAGGCCATGTTCGCAGAGACCATGCTTACTAAAGGGGCGAACACATGAGCGTTTTCTGAACGATACGTTGGAGGTGACTTGTTTTTTCCCACTTCCCTCATCTTCCAAGTCGCAAAATCTACAACTTGGTCGCAAGGAGAAACGGGCATTATGTATCATTTGGACATCGGCGAGAAGGACATGGCAAGTGTCTGCAATCTACTAAGTAAAGAATACTCAACTACAAAAATTATAAAAATTATATATATATTATATTATATAATATATATATATATATATTATATCAATTAACATATTTAAAAAATGAAGCTGTATTTCATATCCTTATATTTTCCAGTGTTTATCTTATAATTCGTGACGTCATCATTGTTTACATACACGCGTCTTCCAAGTTCCTCAAAGGAGAAATGATAATAGTAATAGTGGTATTAATGATAATTATAATAACAGTAACAACTGTCATGATAATAGTAACAGTTAGTAATGATAATCATGATGAAAGGATAATAATGAGGATAAAAAGTGTAAAGTTCTAAATAATGATAATCATCATAATAAATAATATATATATATAACAATAATGATAGAACAATATCAATAATGATTATTGTTATTATTACCATTACCATTATCATCTTTATCAACATCATAATGATAACTGTATTAAGGATATGGATTGATAATTTATTATTTGTAATGATGATAAAGACAAAAATAATTGCAATAATAATGATGAAATAACAACAGTAATATATTACTATTAGTACTACTACAACTACAGATGATAATTACAGTAACGATGATAATAATGATCACGACGCCAATGACGATAATAAATGTTAATGATAGTGGCAATGATAATGATAATGATATCAATAATAATGATAAAAATGATGATGCAGATAAGGATGATAAAAATGAAAATAACAGTAATGATATTGTTTCTGACAATGATAACAATAATGATAAACATATTGATACCAGTGATGATAATAAGGATAACATGAATGATGATAATGATAATGCTGTTGATAAAAAATATGATGATAATGATAACAATATTAATGACAATATTGATTATACTGTAACAATAATAGTGATGATAATAACAATGATAATAATGATAATAATGGTAATAATAATAGCAATAATAATAGGGATGACAATGTCAACAAAATAATAACAATGTCTAATGATATAAGATAACAGTAATAATAACAAAATAGTTATGTTATAACTCTCCTAACCCTCCATAAACAGAAATGCAACCAAACTGGTGATTTGTGAGAAGAAAGGTATCATTATAATGATCATTTCATTGTATGAACGTAATTCGATTCTGAATGTAGATTTTAATCATAGCCAAACAATAATGAAACAATTCCACCAGGTCGGTCGTAAAGAAGAAAGAAAGAAAGAAAAAAAAAAAGACAATGAAAATCTGGCATGAAATTATTATCACATCCCATGACGCGTGTTTCTCAGGCGCAGAACGGCTCAGCGATTCCCTCGGTGGATATAAAAGCTTGAAGTTCCTTCAGCCTGAAGCAGAGTCTGGCCTGACTTCATACCGGAAAGCTTTGCACAATGGTACGTATACTGCATGGAGTGAATGCGTGTGCTTGCTTCAGCACGTCTGTATACACATGCATACACACATCCATAGGTACATACATACATACATAGTATATAACATACATAAATGTGTGTTTATGTGTATACATATATGCATATATACAGTGATATATCCTTTTATTTATGTACCTACCTATCCATGTTTATCTATCAATATCACACTATAAACACATATATATAGGTATATATACATATATATGTATATATGTACATATATATATAAATATATATATATATATATATATATATATATGTGTGTGTGTGTGTGTGTGTTGTGTGTGTGTGTGTGTGTGTGTGTGTGGGTGTGTGTGTGTGTGTGTGTGGTGTGTGTGTGTGTATACATGTATATGTACACAAACATATATGCATGCATGTGTGTATGTATGCATGCATGTATGTATACAAATATGTAATGATATAGATATACTACATCACTGATACAACCTCTACTGCAAGTATTATCAATGTCAGTTAATGACTAGCTCAAACCAAACATTATTCATTATCATATGATTTGCTATACATGTGGGAACTCATAGCTTGTATTACTAATTCAAAGGCATATATTGTAGACAAAATCAGAAGCATAATAATAAACCCAAACTAAGTTTCACATTTGGAACCACAGATCATAAGACATAAACTCAAGACATAACACATAAGCTCAGTCAAATGCTTAAGATATAAACTTAAACTCAATATATAATCAGACTGAATAAATTCGTACACGATGGCCATAGTTCCCAAAGATCAAAAGATCAATCTTTTATTCTACAGAAAGAATTCCAGTTCTATTTTAAGCTTATCGTATTTTGTTCCGTTTCAGAAATATTCTCTCGCACTTGTGTTGGTGGCTGCCATGGTGGCATGTGTCCTGGCGGGAGGCAGAGCTATGGAGGATATGGAGGCGGTTATGGGACGGCCGTGGAGGCGGTTATGGTGCGCGGGCACGGAGGCTATGGAGGTGGTTTATGGAGGCGGTCGCGAGCTACGGAGCTATAGTGGCTACGGAGGTGGCAGCGGAGGTTATGGTGGTTTATGGAGGCGGTCGCGGAGGTGGCTACGGAGGCTATGGAGGCGCTACGAGGTGGCAGCGGAGGTTATGGTGGTGGTTATGGCGGCGTCGCGGAGGTGGTTATGGAGGCTATGGCGGCGGTCGCGGAGGAGGCTATGGTGGGGCTATGGCGGTGTGGCTATGGATACGGGAAATGATCCGATTGTAAGAATTCAACATGTTAAAGAGCTACACATGTATTCATCAGTCATTTAACATCTTTTATGAGTAAGTCGTCAATGCATGAAATAAAACACACTTTTAATACATTTATAATATTAAATACCCTATTTTGTTCTGAGATCCTTGACAATAGTGATGATAGTTGTAACGATGAAGAAAAAGGTACTGGACGTAATACATTTACAAAGGTAATGAGCATAATAATTATTCTAATAGCTATAATGATAATGATAATGAAAAGAACAGGATGATATTCGACAATAACAAAGACAACGAGGTTATGATTTTAATGAAAAATGAAGTAAAATTACTAAAGATAATAATGGTAATGGCATCAATAAGACTAATGATGTTAATGAGAAAGAATAAGTTAAAATTAGTCCCATATCCAAGTAGACGTAGGAGGAGGGAGGCCATGTTCGCAGAGGACCATGCTTACTAAAGGGGCGGACACATGAGCGTTTTCTGAACGATACGTTGGAGGTGACTTGTTTTTCCCCACTTCCCTCATCTTCCAAGTCCGCAAAATCTACAACTTGGTCGCAAGGAGAAACGGGCATTATGTATCATTTGGACATCGGCGAGAAGGACATGGCAAGTGTCTGCAATCTGCTAAGTTAAGAATACTCAACTACAAAAATTATAAAAATTATATATATATATATATATATATATATATATATATATATATATATATATATATATATATATATACATTAACATGATATTTAAAAAATGAAGCTGTATTTCATATCCTTATATTTTCCAAGTGTTTATTCTTATAATCCGTGACGTCATCATTGTTTACATACACGCGTCTTCCAAGTTCCTCAAAGGAGCATAAATGATAATAGTAATAGTGGTATTAATGATAATTATAATAACAGTAACAACTGTCATGATAATAGTAACAGTGGTAGTAATGATAATCGTGATGAAAGGATAATAATGAGGATAAAAAGTGTCAAAGGTAATGCTACTAGGGGCAATAATGATAATCATCATAATAGTAATAATGATATATAAAAATATAACAATAATGATAAGAACAATATCAATAATGATTATTGTTATTATTACCATTACCATTATCCTCTTTATCAACATCATAATGATAACTGTATTAAGGTTTGTGATATGGATTAAAATTATATTTGTAATGATGATAAAGACAAAAATAATTGCAATGATAATGATGAAAATAACAACAGTAATGATCCTAGTAATGATACTATTAGTACTACTACTACTACAGATGATAATTATAGTAACGATGATAATAATAATGATCACGACACCAATGACGATAATAATAATGTTAATGATAGTGGCAATGATAATGATAATGATATCAATAATAATTATAAAAATGATGATGCAGATAAGGATGATAAAAATAAAAATAACAGTAATGATATTGTTTTTGACAACGATAACAATAATGATAAACATATTGATACCAGTGATGATAATAAGGATAACATGAATGATGATAATGATAATGCTGTTGATAAAAAATATGATGATAATGATAACAATATTAATGACAATATTGATTATACTGTAACAATAATAGTGATGATAATAACAATGATAATAATGATAATAATGGTAAAAATAATAGCAATAATAATAGGGATGACAATGTCAACAAAATAATAACAAGGGGATGTCTAATGATAAGAGTGATAACAGTAATAATAACAAAATAGTTATGTTAACACGAATAACTCTCCTAACCCTCCATAAACAGAAATGCAACCAAACTGGTGATTTGTGAGAAGAAAGGTATCATTATATTGATCATTTCATTGTATGAACGTAATTCGATTCTGAATGTAGATTTAAATCATAGCCAAACAATAATGAAACAATTCCACCAGGTCGGTCGTAAAGAAGAAAGAAAGAAAGAAAAAAAAAAGACAATGAAAATCTGGCATGAAATTATTATCACATCCCATGACGCGTGTTTCTCAGGCGCAGAACGGCTCAGCGATTCCCTCGGTGGATATAAAAGCTTGAAGTTCCTTCAGCCTGAAGCAGAGTCTGGCCTGACTTCATACCGGAAAGCTTTGCACAATGGTACGTATACTGCATGGAGTGAATGCGTGTGCTTGCTTCAGCACGTCTGTATACACATGCATACACACATCCATAGGTACATACATACATACATATGTATATACACATACATATATGTGTGTTTATGTATATACATACATGTATATATACAGTGATATATCCTTTTATCTATCTACCTACCTATCCATGTTTATCTATCAATATCACACTATAAACACATATATAGGTATATATACATATATATATGTACACATATATATATATATATATATATATATATGTATATATATATGTGTGTGTGTGTGTGTGTGTGTGTGTGTGTGTGTGTGTGTGTGTGTGTGTGTGTGTACATGTATATGTACACAAACATATATGCATGCATGTGTGTATGTATGCATGCATGTATGTATATAAATATGTAACGATATAGATATACTACATCACTGATACAACCTCTACTGCAAGTATTATCAATGTCAGTTAATGACTAGCTCAACCAAACATTATTCATATCATATGATTTGCTATACATGTGGGAACTCATAGCTTGTATTACTAATTCAAAGGCATATATTGTAGACAAAATCAGAAGCATAATATATAAACCCAAATTAAGTTTCACATTTAAGATCATAAGACATAAACTCAAGACATAACACATAAGCTCAGTCAAATGCTTAAGATATAAACTTAAACTCAATATATAGTCAGACTGAATAAATTCGTACACGATGGCCATAGTCCCAAAGATCAAAAGATCAATCTTTTATTCTACAGAAAGAATTCCAGTTCTATTGTAAGCTTATCGTATTTTGTTCCGTTTCAGAAATATTCTCTCGCACTTGTGTTGGTGGCTGCCATGGTGGCATGTGTCCTGGCGGGAGGCAGAAGCTATGGAGGATATGGAGGCGGTTATGGAGGCGGCCGTGGAGGCGGTTATGGTGGCGGGCACGGAGGCTATGGAGGTGGTTATGGAGGCGGTCGCGGAGGTGGCTACGGAGGCTATGGAGGCGGCTACGGAGGTGGCAGCGGAGTTTATGGTGGTGGTTATGGAGGCGGTCGCGGAGGTGGCTACGGAGGCTATGGAGGCGGCTACGGAGGTGGCAGCGGAGGTTATGGTGGTGGTTATGGCGGCAGTAGCGGAGGTGGTTATGGAGGCTATGGCGGCGGTCGCGGAGGAGGCTATGGTGGCGGCTATGGCGGTGGCTATGGATACGGGAAATGATCCGATTGTAAGAATTCAACATGTTAAAGAGCTACACATGTATTCATCCGTCATTTAACGTCTTTTATGAGTAAGTCGTCAATGCATGAAATAAAACACACTTTTAATACATTTATAATATTAAATACCCTATTTTATTCTGAGATCCTTGACAATAGTGATGATAGTTGTAACGATGAAGAAAAAGGTACTGGACGTAATACATTTACAAAGGTAATGAGCATAATAATTATTCTAATAGCTATAATGATAATGATAATGAAAAGAACAGGATGATCGACAATAACAAAGACAACGAGGTTATGATTTTAATGAAAAATGAAGTAAAATTACTAAAGATAATAATATGTAATGCATCAATAAGACTAATGTAGTTAATGAGAAAGAATTAGTTAAAATTGGTCCCATACCCACGTAGACGTAGGAGGAGGGAGACCATGTTCGCAGAGGACCATGCTTACTAAAGGGGCGGACACATGAGCGTTTTCTGAACGATACGTTGGAGGTGACTTGTTTTTCCCCCACTTCCCTCATCTTCCAAGTCCGCAAAATCTACAACTTGGTCGCAAGGAGAAACGGGCATTATGTATCATTTGGACATCGGCGAGAAGGACATGGCAAGTGTCTGCAATCTGCTAAGTAAAGAAAACTCAACTACAAAAATCATAAAAATTAATATTATATTATATATATATATATATATATATATATATATATATATATATATATATATATACATTAACATGATATTTAAAGAATGAAGCTGTATTTCATATCCTTATATTTTCCAAGTGTTTATTCTTATAATCCGTGTCGTCATCATTGTTTACATACGCGCGTCTTCCAAGTTCCTCAAAGGAGCATAAATGATAATAGTAATAGTGTTATTAATGCTAATTATAATAACAGTAACAACTGTCGTGATTATATCGTACATAAACAAAGAGAAAATAAATTTTATATATTCGATTGTGACATTTTAAAATGTTATGTGAGTAAATCATCAGTGTATGACATAGATTACAACACTTTTAATACATCCATGATATTGAATGTCCTATTTTGTTCTGCGATCTTTAACATTAGTGATGATGATAAAAACGGCGAAAGATGAACATAATGAATAAAGATTGATAATGGTTGTGATAAGTATCCTGTTATTTTCCTTATTACAATGATAGATACGGTAATACTGGTAATGCCAATAACTATAGAAACTGTGATAATGATAATGACGATACTAATGGCAGTTACAATGACAATGAAAATAGTAATAACAAAATGAACATTAATTAATAATGAAAGTGATGATGGAGATAATGGCAATGATGAAGATAATAATGAAGGTAATGAAAATAGTACAGAAACGATTATGATGATCAAAATTATATTAATGGCAATAGTGACAATACTAATATTGATATTGATAAAAATGATAGTTATAATAATAATATAGCTAGGACAATGAAAAGAACAACAATCATTATGATAATGATGGTGACAACAATTGTAGTAATGATAAAACTAGCAATACTGATGATGATAATGACAATACTAAATCTAAAAATGAATATATAATTACTACCGGATGGTTTCCTTCCTTCGGACCTCTGCCCCCTGCAACTGCCTTCCTCTTTCAGCGGACGCAAGTGTTCACCATACTTTCTCTTTAAACACTTCTGCGGCGTAATCAATCATGCGCCCTCGCAAGGAATAGCTGCACAAAAGGACGCTTTGTCATATAACAGAACGAGGCTGAACGGCCGACTGCAGACAGACGACGGTCCCGCGCGTCGCCGCTCCTCCGGCCGCGGCACCCGGGGCACGGGCCTCTCGTGGAGGTACACATACGCCTCCCTCAATAAACCAGCAAACAAGGATACCTTTCCTTTGTAATATGGCCAGCCTCTTACATTCACAACTACTAACAACAATATGACGATGATAATGATGATAATAGTATTAATAATGATAATATCAAAAGGTTATGGTAATGATAGCAATGATGAATATATAATGAATGTCGTTATAAAACAGTAAAGGTAAGAATCGTAGATTTGATGTTAATAAAGATAATGATAACGATTATAACAAGTATTATCATTGTTATTACCATTATCATCCTTTCTATTATAATTATCATTATTAGTATTATAAATGATATCATTGTTCTTATCATTAACATCTACTGAATGAATAGTTAGATGAATTTAAAGAATGATGCTACAATAAGATTTTTAAAAATCAAGAGTTACATAACACAATACAGGTAAAAACTATTAGTTTTATGAATGAATAACATAAAGCAAATACAAGCACTGAAATGAATGAATGGTGTATTGGATAGTTATAATAGCAAAGAGAATGTACATACATATATACATACATAAATATTTACATACATGTGTACATAAGTTCACACTTACACTCAAACGCATGTAAAGATCTAGAAAACACGCACACATACAAATTCTCTCTCTCTCTCTCTCTCATCTCTCTCTCCTCTCTCTCTTCTCTCCTCTCCTCTCTTCTCTCTCCTATACGCTCTCTACTTCTATCTATTGTATAATATATAGTATATATATATATATAATATATATATAAATAATATATATATTATATATATATATGTATTATTATATATATATATATATATATATAGTATATATATATATATATATATATATATTATATAATATAATATTAATATATAATATATATATATAATATTATTTTATATACATATATATATATATATATATATACATAATATATATTAATAATTAGTATATACTAATATTATATATAATATATATATATTATTTACATATATTATATATATATATGTATATATGTATATATGTATATATCTATAATTATGCGTACATATATATTTGTGTGTGTGTGCAAACACACTTATATGTATACACACACACACACACACACACACACACACACACACACACACACACACACACACACATATATATATATATATATATATATATATATATATATATATATAATTAGAGAGAGAGAGAGAGAGAGAGAGAGAGAGAGAGGGGGGGGGAGAGAATGCGTCATAGTTAATAACTATGATAGTTTTAAAAGTATTATTCACATACATAAAAAATCTTAATGATATAATCAGGACTGCTAGGGACAAGAGTAAGAAGGGAAATATGATTGATGATTATAATCATCCTTACAATAAAGACTGATTGTAATGGTAATAACAATAAACAATGAACCTGATGTCATAAAACACATAGATACCTGCACCGGTTCCGTTACGACAGAACTCCCAATACTCCTTCTTCTCATGATCAGAGCGGCCTACTTAATCTCTCTTCGGACGTATAAAATGTTGGTCTCCTCTCAGGCTAAGGCAGAGATTGAGGCTGACTTCACACAGGAAGGTTTAAACAATGGTAAGCACACACACATATATGACGTGTATGTTAGTAAAGAAAGACACATAGATAAGTATGCATATAAAATTTCTTTCATTTTTCTCTTTGTTTATGTACAATATATATGTTTGTATTTAATAGTAGGTACAACAATATTGATGATAAAGAGAATCTATTCCGTAATGGATATGGATGAAATAGTAAGCATCAAATTTTCGATCAACTTTTCGTTGCCGCTGTCTTAATTAGGGTTATTGGCATCATACTGATGATGTCTTATTTTATTTCTGCTGCTAATTATCCCTATTGTCATAATGTTATCGCATTTACTGTTACATCATTGTGAGTTAATGCAATCACTTATTCTGTCTTATTTCAGTTGCAGAAATACACTGTCTCTTGTGCTGGTGGCTGCCATGGTGGCTTGCGTCGAGGCAAGTCGCTATGATGGGTATGGAGGCGGCTATGGAAGTGGTTATGGTGACTATAGAGGTGGTTATTATGGCGGCTATCTAGGAGGGTATGGTGGCTACGGGAGAAGTTATGGAGGAGGCTATGGTGCCTATGGAGGAGGCTATGATGGTTATGGAGGAAGCTATAGTGGCTATGGATACGGAAAGTAATTCCTTCATGAGAAAATTAATGAATGAAGGTTAGAGGCCTTGTACAGCAC